TGATATGCAGGTAAACCTCACTCTGACCTCTAAGAGGCTGATCACACCAAGGAGCATAGAATCACCAGGAGGCGACACTCTTGTGCAATTTGGGAAACAGCCACTAGATGCCGCTAAAGTCACGCGGCGGCCATTTTGGAATTAAAATTCCATTAGAACAACAGCATATTATAAGTCTGAAAAATAGACTATTAAAAGGGCTGATGATTGTGATAGTAAGTGTTTTATTGTCGTCTATTGTCGTCTTTTAAATAAATAAATTAAAAACAAAGCAGCTGCTTGCCGTCACGACAGCAATAAGATCCAATTGACGGCCGATTGCTTTTACTATAGAATGGTGGAACTGCGGGGCTGTTGCTGGGCTCTGCGGTTGCAACAGAGTGTGATATTGAGTGTCGCCTCTTTTTAAATGATTTACTAATGGCCGCGAGCGTTTTGCACGCTGCTTAAGCGCCCTTGCTCGCCTTGCATTTTAACTGCCTGCTGCACCTCGCGTTTCTGCCCTTGTGCGCCGTGCGCGCTCAGTTGAAAAAAGTAAACTCTGAGCGGAAAAAGTGCGTTACGTCACTCGCATCTGTTGTATTCTCCAATCAAAGGAAAGCAGAGGCGGGGTTTTTGTTGATGTGCCTGCAGTGTTTGTGTTGTCAAAACAACAACGGAGGCTTTTTAAGATGGAGGAGAGACTTGTGGTTGCTGTTTTGGGTTATCCAGAACTGTATGACTCGCAAATCATCAATATAACAATATTATTAGAGATTAAAATAATATTAATTTCAACAGAAACACTCTCGAACAATACCCAGCTGATCTAGTCGTTGTCTAGCGACAAAAAGAAAAGCACACTGCGCTCCTTTTTTTCTTGTCAACAAGAAAAGCAGTGCGTTTTTGGAATGTAAATGCAACCGTAAATGCAACCGAATCCCATACGAAGAATCGCTGGTTCGATCCCAGTTCAAACCGGGTTAGGTGCAGTTGCACCAGTAGGTTATATTTGGGGGCTCTCCTGGGACTAAAGTGAGGTTTAGGGGGGGTGAGTCTCACTGATGACCAGTTATCAAAGTGCTATGCAGGTAAACCTCATTCCTCTGACCTCAAAAGGTGCTCTAGTGACAGATGCTAGAGCTCATGGTCTTAAGCCTCCTTGTTAGAGCAACCAACTCCCAGACAAAGAATCGTCGGTTCAATCCCAGCTCAGACCAGGTTGGGTGCAATAGAACTGATGGGTTACACACGGGGGCTCATCCAGTATAGGAGTGGGGTTTAGGGGGGGTGAGTGTAATGGAGGCCAGCTAGCGAAGTGCTATGCAGGTAAATCTAATTCCTCTTACCTCTAAAGGTGCTCTAGCAAAAGACTCTATAGGCCTTGGTCTTTAGCCTCTTAATTAGAGAGACTGACTCTTATACAAAGAATTGCCGGTTCGATCCCAGCTCAGACCGGATTGGGTGCTTTAAGACTGGTGGGTTACATGTGGGAGCTCTTTTGGGATGTAATGGAGGTCAGCTAGTGAAGTGCTACGCAGGTAATCATTCCTCCTCTCACCTATAAAGGTGCTCTAGCGACGGACGCTAGAGGTCATGGTCTTTATCCTCCTTGTTAGAGCAACCGACTCCCAGACAATGAAGCCCCGGCTCGATCACAGTTCATTATATGAGAGACTTGTTTTATTTAACAAGTGAAATCAATTGAATTTGTCGTGTAAAACATAAATAAAAGTGATTATTTTGTATTTAATGTTTTAAGATTTTAGTTATCATACTTCTCTAATTATTCTCATTCATTCATTTTCTTGTCGGCTTAGTCCCTTTAATAATCCGGAGTCGCCACAGCGGAATAAACCTCCAACTTAACCAGCACGTTTTTACTTCCAGCTGCAACCCATCTCTGGGAAACATTAACACACACTCATTCACAATCATACACTTTGGACAATTTAGCTCACCCAAATCACCTGTACCGCATGTCTTTAGACTGTGGGGGAAACCGGAGCACCCGGAGGAAACCCACGCAACTGCAGGGAGAACATGCAAACTCCACACAGAAACGCCAACTGACCTATCCGAGGCTGGAACCATCAACTCTCTTGCTGTGAGGCGACAGCAATACCTACTGCGCCACTACGTCGCCCCCTGAAATCATTCTGCAGATTTTTTTTTTCTTTTTACAAAAATTTGTGCAGAAAAGGCAAAATAAAAGTCAGGAGATTCTGTCTGGTCCTGTAATGATCATGTTCGGCTTAAAATCTAAATTCTGGTTTGTTTATTGTAGAAGAGAAGGAATAGTTGGTGATCTTGTGTTTGTATGTGCACATGAACTCTGAAAAAATTAGAGCGCATTATCATACACATTTCTGCCTGAGATGGAAATCTGCACAGTCCGTTTAGCTTCAGGTTATAATCTGTCATAACTGTTGGTGGTGTTTGTTAAGGCTGTCAACACTGCATTTGCTCATTAGAGATCTGAACAAACCCAAGATCTGTGTGTTTTGTCCACACTTCATTA